GGGATGGTCCCCAGCAGACCAGGGGCACCGGGAGCAGCTTTTCTCGCCCCGGAGATCAAGGTGGCGGGACCGCTGCCTGCGAGCTCCGGGGCGAGAAAGCCCCATTCGTAAGTGCGGATCCGACGTAAGTCGGATCCACATAAGTCAGGGACTGCCTGTATATGAAAAATTAAGTACATGCATAATGTTTGCATGACCAGAACCTAAGTGAATACACAGAGTGATATCTAATGCATTGAGTAAACTGAAAAAAGCACACCAGGTATTAAAGAAAAAATATATTTCAGTTGTAAATTTGGGTCATGTTGCAACAATAGTAGGTTTAAATACAACAAAAAATTCAGCCAGAAGCAAGTGTCTTTAAAATTGACATACTTTTAAACTAATTAACTGGATCTCTTACTGTTGAATGAAAAAAATAAATGCTGAAATCTAAAATTATAGCTTTGCTATAAAGATGTATTTTGGATTTTTTCTAGTAATTATGTCAAAACCCAGGGTTTCTTTTTTTATTTTGTCAAAACGGTAATATAGTTATCCAAGGTAATAGTTTTAACAGTACTTTCCACTAGTGCTTTATTCCTCAATGCAAAACTGAGGAACCCTAATATATTGTTTTTATCTTACTAGGCCTACTTGGACCACTTTAGTAGAGCACTGCATTATGAATATGCTTCAAAAGGAATCTTTATTCAGAGTTTAATCCCATTCTTCATCTCCACAAACATGACACAATTGGGTGATCACGTTCTATCAAGGAAGCTTTTTTGTGTGCCTTCAGCAAAAGTATATGCTCATCATGCTGTTTCTACCCTGGGGATATCCAGAAGGACTACAGGATATTGGCTCCATTCTATTCAGGTAACATAATTAATCCAAATAGTTCACATAACTAGTTCACATTAGTAAATCTCTCATGACCTCTTTTACCTAAGGGGAAATTTAACCTTGTGGCTTCCATTGATTTTCATAGAGAAGCTAAAACTAGTGCAATGTTTTGGACATATATTTTTAATCTTCAGCACAAATCAATCAATCTAAACCAAAGGCACTGCTCCATATTTCTTGACTGCTTCCATGTTTAATAAAATTATGAGTGGGCAACATATATTGCTTTAGGAGGAGAGACAGCATCTGATTACTACTTCTAATTTACATCTCAAATTTTTTAAAAATTGCATTAAAAAATACACATCTGGTATTTCTCATTTCCTGAAAATATTTTTTGTTTAAAAAAATTGTCACAAAATCCACATCTTTAGTCTCAACTGCCTAAAAAAGTGTCCCCCTATATAAGGTAGACTTTTTTTGATTTGTACAATATGTGATCTGTTTGCCCCCGGCTGCATGGGAAGGAAGGTGTCTGGGCTTACCCCTTGCACTGTCTCCAACCCTCCCCAGCTGCCTTCCGCCCGTGCTGTGCACTCCCCCGGGGTGAGCTGTCTGCCCCAGGCAGCCAGAGCCAGGAGCTGAGCAAAGGAGCTGTGTCCTTAAACAGAGCACCCCCCTCTCCCGGAGAACAGCCACGTTCTTCCGGACAGATGCAACAGAGGGAAGAAAGGTCGCTGAGTATTCCCACAGCAGGGGAATCTCCTCTCCCTCCCCACAGCAGATTACCTCTTCCCTGAATTCTCATCTTCCTCTGCTCTGCCTGCTTGGTCTCTCCCTGTGACAGCTGCTCAGGCTACGACAGCGATTCTGATTCGGCACCTCAGCCGTCACCGAAGTAAAAAAACCCCTGTATTACATGAAGACGAGTATAGCTTGCAGGGGTGGGGGAGTTGTAAAACTTTGCATAACCTGCGGGTTATCTATGCTAAAACACGGTAATCATGTAGTTGATAAAAATGTTATCATCTACATGATTAGTGGATTAGTGTGAACACCTAGTGGCTAATTTGAATATTTTTAAAAAATGGGACAGGAAGATGTAAGAGATTAGGAAATAATTAAGGGATGAGCATGGAAGTTTTTGAATTAACTAAGATTTGCAGAACCTGATTTTACATCTGTATTTGTAAATTCTAAATCAGGGGTGGGTCACCTTTTTAGAGTCAGGGGCCACTGACCCACAGAAAAATCAGTCAGGGACTGCCCACGAGTGAGAAACAAAAAAACCCACTCCTCACCAGCATGGGCTCCCCAATGGTGAGGGGAGCCCCAAGCCTTGGGGGTCAGATCCAGGCAAGCTGGGGGCTGCATCTGGCCCCTGGGCATTAGGTTCCCCACCCCCATTTTAAATGCATAAAATACAGCATTTGTTTTTTAATGTTATCATATATTGTTGTTTGCTTTATTGATGATGTTGATGTTCAGAAGGAGTTATACTTCCATGATAGTTCCAAAAACTGCAAGTAAAACAAAACAAATCCTTTAACCTTTTTTCCTCCCCCTCTTTTGTAGTTTCTTCTTGTACAGTACATGCCAGAATGGTTCTGGGTTTGGGGAATGCAGATTCTCAACAATTCTCTACGTCGGGGCGCCTTATCCCACAGAATACATTAAGAATATAATCTAGGAAATAGCAATGTGCTAACCTACTGCAGTAACTTAACTTGAGCATTGGAAGAACTTAAAAGATATTCTAGTATGCTTTCATCTCCTGTTAAACAATGTACGTATTATAGTTATTAGAAAAGCCTGGATCCTGCCGCTCTCCTTGTACTACTGAGCCCAGAGCAAAGCTGAGCAGGACATAAAAACTTTAAAAAAAAATTAGTTCAGATAATTAAATCTCTTGAGTTTCTCATGTAATTTACTGAGGATGGACAGTGTGTTGATTCTTCATGGGATTGATGGACTCCTGCTTAGTGTTCTCAAATTCTAATAATATGAATGGAAATTTCAATAGCTCAGTGTTTTGCAAGATTGGGCACTGGAGGAGTTGAAAGGGATACCAAATCATGTTGTGTTATAAAGACAATCTCAGATTTTAAATCAACTAAATCTCTTTAGAGTGGATTGTCTTGTGTTGGTTTTCCAATCTTATTGTGGTGTTATGTTTAATGAGAAGTTATGTTGTCTTTGAAAAATGCATAAGGTTACTTTTCAAATTTGGAAAACTGTAGAGAAAGCATTTAAGCCTTTTTCTTAATAAACCCTTGTTTGTGTGAGTGTTCTGTATTGCCAGAATGATAGAGCAGCAATGAAGTTCAGAAAAAGATGTTTTCTAGCTTTCTGATATTACGTGTGAAAGATTTGGATCATTTTTCAAGTGGATACTCCATTAATAATCTCTCATCTGTCTGAAGAAGTTAATATTTAAGCAATTAAAAAACTCCATGATTGAAGGTGGAATCTTCTCAGTTTTTCTTTCTTCAGTAGGTGAAAACCTTATATAATCTTGTAACATTTGCTTTTCTGTAGCTAGTACAGGTGGAACCCTCCTGATCTGGGACCCTGGGGATCTGAGTAGTTCCAAACCAGAGAGTTTGCTGGAGCAGGGGATGTCAAGGTTCCTCTCCCAGTTATTGGCCCTGCTCTCTGCTGTCCCCAGTCCTGCTGGGGCTGGGCTCCCCGCCTGGGGATGGGACTGCACTCTGGGCTGCTCTCCTGGCCAAATGAGTCCTTCAGTGGTACTCCTGCTGTACCTGTCCCCAGCTCCGCTCCTGGCCATTGGCCCGGGCCACACTCCCACTGTGCCAATCCCCACCAGCCCACTCTGTGCTTCTTGGTGCCAGCCCTGCTGCCTCCAGTCCCAGCCAGGGCTGTGCTCCCCACCACACCAATCTTGCTGCTGCTGGGCCTGCGCTTCCCACCACCAGCCGAACCTCTGAACCTGACCAGCCAGGGCTCTCTGGTCTAGTAATATCCATGGTCCGGATACTGCTGGACTAGAGAATCCTGGATTTTAGAGATTCAACCTGTTGCATCTTTAAATACTTTCTCTCCGGCTGTTACTATATATTATGGTGTTAATACTTGTTGCAAAAACTATAAATATTCTGAATCTCAAACATTGGGCTTTAGTGCTGTTACCTACATACAAATCCCATGTTAAGTGGAATCTGAATTATGAACACCTGGTTTATTACTCAGGTTTCTGTGTAATATCATTAAGATTCTATATTGTCACTCCCTTACCTATTATAGTGAGATTATTAAAAATATAGAATAATTATGTAGTAGTAATGTAGTAGCTAGCAGAACAGTATAAACGCATTTTGGGGTATCTTCTAATTTCTGCCAATAGAATTGCTACCCATGAGGACATAATTTGCCCCATATTCCATCCTGATCTCTTCTGAGGAATATAAGGCCTGAAAAGCAGCAAAAACAATGTTTAGCTCCACCGGGGTGGAAGGCAAGGCATGCAAGAGTACTCTGCACCTCTTGCACAAAAGGATGGACCAACTATATCAATCCATTGGCCCAAACCCCAAGGTAGAGGTTATAAGATTATAGCTTTTGGTAAAGCCCAAATGATGCAATAGTGGCTGCAAAAAACACTCCTGACTCCTTTATGCCAGCTGTGGGTTGGAAAAGCAGGATTCTCCCTCACTACCCAGCTCCCACTTACCTTGGTGCTCTATACAAAGCCTGCATAGTTACTTTGTACAAGGGATTACAGTTCAGCCCCAATTGAACATAAAAGATGGGTGCAGTTGTGACTAAGTATAAACCTGTTACTAGAAGGCTAAGTCTAAAAAGTATCTTGTGATATTTTTGGTTCAGATCCATTGTTCTGTGTAAGCTGAGACCCTGGTCAGACACCCAGGAAAGATTCAGGAACCAGCTAAGTAACAGAGCACTCACAACCACCCACGTTGGGCAGCATTTCTTTCTACTGGTGTTGCACATCCCATGTGCCTTGGTGCACACAACAAAATCTATTCCACACCTGATTGGAAGAAATTAAGAGGGAACTTTGGTCAGATCTCTTTAAAATTCAGTATATACACAGTTCATACTTTGAAACCTGCCACAGTTCTTATTCTATAGAAATGAGAAAGTGTTTTAATACTGAGTATATTTGCAATGCTAATTAGCGAAAGGCTGACTTTGAGTAACTGCTGAGAATGAAATTCAGTTAGCTGTAACAACTGTAATTTGTTTCCTATAAACTTATGCAGTTTGTATTAGGGATGTTAGCTATCGTGTAACTGAATAGTTATGTAACCCCATGAAATCTTAGCAGTTACACAACTGTTCAATAGTCCCCGGAGGCGGGAGCAGCAGCCAGTGCGCTTCTGGCCCCACTCCCAGGGAGTCCCTGTCAGCCTCTCTTTTAAGTCTGGTCCTCATGGGCACCTTGCTGGGAGGGAAATGCATGTAGTTGACAAGATTAACCGATAAGCCCAGGCTCCCACACCAGAGCTTAGAGGGGCATAGTCTAGTACCATGGTCACCAACCAGTCGATCGCGAGGCGTTCCGGGCCCCCCATTTCCCTCCACCCCCAAGAAGCCCCACCACCTACCTCGAGTGACACTGGAGCTAATGGCACCTTCCCGTGGGGTGGACGGAAGTCCTGCAGCTGCGCGTCGCTTCTGGGGGTTCCGGAAATGCGCTGGCTGCTTCCTTGCCCCAAGTCTGTGGTGTGCCGGGAACTTACTGGGTGTGTCTCCAGAGGCACGCGCTGGGACTTGCTTTCTCTGTGGGAGAGGGGAGTTGAGCCCAGAGGGGGCGCGTGCATGGGCTTCCCTGCTCCACGGGGCGGGGGGGAGTTGGGCCCGGAGGAGGCGTGCGACAAGACTTCCCTCCTCTGGGGGAGGGGCGGAGGAATCCTGGGAGAAGGCGGGTGCAGGGGACTCTAACCCTATCCCCTGCCCTCCCAGCACTGTGCTCCCTCTCCCCTGCCCCCTGCTGCAGATCCCTGTCCCCTGCCCTCCCGGCACTCTGTTCCCTCTCTCCTCGCCCCAGCTGCAGAACCCTGCTCCCAGCAGCCTCCTTCCCCTCCGTCCAGCAGGGTGCATTGGTCAGCCAGGCCAGCTTCCGGTGGTGCATAGCCCCTTCCTCTCTCCTCCCTCCCCCCCACGGGACTGCCTTTGCTGCACAGGGTCCTGATCCAGTGGCCCCGTCTCCTCCTCGGGCTGCCTTGGAGCCTTGCAGGAGCTATGTGGAACCAGCTGGGGTGCTGTGGGGTGAGGCACACATTGCTCAGCAGGTGCTAGGACAAGAGCTGGGGCTGCCTGTGGAGCAATTTTTAGTACTGCAGTCTGGATCCCCGTGGGAAGCCCTGGCTCCAGATAGAGGCAAATGGCAGCCATGCGAAGTGTGTTCTGGTGAGGCTGCCCCAATTGGAATGCACCTGGCACAGCTGCTGCTTGTCTCCAGCTGGAGCCGGGGGCCACCCACGGTGTTATTTTTAGTGCTGCAGTGCGGGTCCCTGAAAGCAGCAGCGCAAGGTGTGTTCCAGTCTTACTTCACTCTAGCTGGAGCTGGGGCTGCTCACAGGGACTGGACTGCGGCACTAAAAATAGCACCGCGTGGGGTCCCTGTTCCAGTCCTGGCAAGCGGACCCACCAAAGGATATTAAATTGCGGGTAACTGACTACTCGACTAGTAGCCACTTCCTCATTCCTCCTTTGAAATGTACAAGAGCCCCCACTGAGGCTTTTGTACATTTCAAAGAAGGAATGCGGAACTCCACCTACAGCCCAGGACCAGTGGGAAATCCCACTCACCCTGGGCTTTGGTCAGCTTGCCTGCTTTGAAATGTAAAAGAGTCCCCCACTGACCTTGGGCTCAATGCTGCGCTGCATGCTGCAGGGAGCCCGGGGTCAGCTAGGGACTCCCCAGCTGAGCCCGGGCTCCTTGGAAGTTGCCTTTGAAACATCAGAGGCAGCCGCTGCCCCTTTGAAATGCCGCTTTGGTGTTTTAAAGGGGCAGTGATGGGGAGTACAGTGTCAGCTGGAGAGGCCAGAGGCAGTATTTTAAGGGGCAGCTGCTGCACAGCTGAGTCAGGGATCTGCTTTGCAGCTGCTGCCCCTTTCAAGTACCACCTTAGGGTTTCAAAGTGCCCTGCACAGCTGTGCGGCACTGCCAAGTATCCTTTGTCCTCTCTCCCTCCCCCCACCCTTTTCTGCCTTTATCCCTTTTTTTTTTTTTTGCTCAACTAAATGCTGTGGGGTCCTGTCAAAATTGTTCAAATTGAGCCCCGGGGTCCTGTCGAAATTGTTCAAATTGGGCCCGGCACTTCCTAAAGCTGGCCCTGCTGGGGGTGAAGCAGAAGGGGAGGGATGGGCAGCGGAGGAGAGAGGCAGGGCAGGTAGGTAGAGGGAGGTGTTAGGAGAGGGGCAGCTACACAGGATCAGAATGGGACTAGAGTATGAGTGGACATAGGGGGAAGAGACAGGCAGGTCCCAGGAGGACTGAGGTGAGAGAGAAGAGCAGGAGCCAGGACAGAAGGGGAGGAGGGGCACCAGATGATGCAAGGGCAGGGTAGGAGACATGGCAGCAGAGGGGAAAAGGAAAGGTTTATATTTATTAGTAACTTGGGTGCCATAGTGGAACACATCTGAACAAGCTCACTTGACTTCAATACTGGTGCACGAGACAAAATTCACTCTGCTCTTGGGCGGAAAATCTTCAGCGGGAACACTGCCCTCAGCCTCTGCTCCTGAGTTAACGCAGTGCAAATTGGGTTAATGCAAATGCAGGATAGTTGCATGCGGGAGGAGAGGGTGCTGCGTGGGGGTTAAACTCATCCCTATTGGTAAGACGACGGTGGGAGGAATTCTTAGAGGGGGCACAGGAGGTCTTGGGAGGGAAATGCATGTAGTTGACAAGATTAACCGATAAGCCCAGGCTCCCACACCAGAGCTTAGAGGGGCATAGTCTAGTACCATGGTCACCAACCAGTCGATCGCGAGGCGTTCCGGGCCCCCCATTTCCCTCCACCCCCAAGAAGCCCCACCACCTACCTCGAGTGACACTGGAGCTAATGGCACCTTCCCGTGGGGTGGACGGAAGTCCTGCAGCTGCGCGTCGCTTCTGGGGGTTCCGGAAATGCGCTGGCTGCTTCCTTGCCCCAAGTCTGTGGTGTGCCGGGAACTTACTGGGTGTGTCTCCAGAGGCACGCGCTGGGACTTGCTTTCTCTGTGGGAGAGGGGAGTTGAGCCCAGAGGGGGCGCGTGCATGGGCTTCCCTGCTCCACGGGGCGGGGGGGAGTTGGGCCCGGAGGAGGCGTGCGACAAGACTTCCCTCCTCTGGGGGAGGGGCGGAGGAATCCTGGGAGAAGGCGGGTGCAGAGGACTCTCTGCCTCCTCTGGCCCCCTGCCCCAGAACCCTATCCCCTGCCCTCCCAGCACTGTGCTCCCTCTCCCCTGCCCCCTGCTGCAGATCCCTGTCCCCTGCCCTCCCGGCACTCTGTTCCCTCTCTCCTCGCCCCAGCTGCAGAACCCTGCTCCCAGCAGCCTCCTTCCCCTCCGTCCAGCAGGGTGCATTGGTCAGCCAGGCCAGCTTCCGGTGGTGCATAGCCCCTTCCTCTCTCCTCCCTCCCCCCCACGGGACTGCCTTTGCTGCACAGGGTCCTGATCCAGTGGCCCCGTCTCCTCCTCGGGCTGCCTTGGAGCCTTGCAGGAGCTATGTGGAACCAGCTGGGGTGCTGTGGGGTGAGGCACACATTGCTCAGCAGGTGCTAGGACAAGAGCTGGGGCTGCCTGTGGAGCAATTTTTAGTACTGCAGTCTGGATCCCCGTGGGAAGCCCTGGCTCCAGATAGAGGCAAATGGCAGCCATGCGAAGTGTGTTCTGGTGAGGCTGCCCCAATTGGAATGCACCTGGCACAGCTGCTGCTTTTTTCCAGCAGGGCCCGGGGGCCACCCGCGGGGGTATTTTTTGTGGTGCAGTGCGG